ATCTATTAACTATTTTATAGCCATATAGAACTTCAGAAACATTTAATATATGTTCTAATAAGCAAATAGTCAAATGAAATATGTTTTGGCATCAAAAATATTCCGTCCGTTTTATTTTTCTCTCTGCTTTTTTACTTAGCCTGCACAAAATTGTGAAAAAATACAGGCCAAATTAGTCTCAAATTTTTATATGTCAAATTTATTTTTGTAAATGTATTCACATAAGTAACCAATAATTTAAGCTTTTTTCCTTACTATAGGCATGATGAAATAAAACTCAGAGAGCCATTTTCTTTGTGCTCTATCAATTATCAATCAAGTAAACTACATTTCTGGGAGGAAATTGTTGACATACTTCAATCTTTCAGTCAATTATCTGAATTGTAGATTCCTAGAAGTCTTGACTATAAACAAAGTACATTCATGTGTTATTTCACCATGATGATATGTTGTGAGAAATGTGTCATCAGGTGACTTAGTCACTGAGTATTTACACAAACTAAGAGGACTACAACTGCTGTTAGGTGAGATAATCTTACAGAACACCATTGTATATACAGTCCATCATTGACCAAAATGTCATTCCACAGTGCATAACTGTAAATTACTTTATAGATAGATCAGAATTTAACAATAAGTTCCTCTTTCCATATCTTATCTGCTTATTAAACCTCAGTTTCTTCAACGACAGGATAGGAGTTCGAATAATATCTGCCTTAAAAGCTGATGCAATAGTTCTTATGAAGGATATAGTACTAGATCTGGTGCACAGCAAGTGTTTAATCAATGTTGTTATATGACAAAAGATAATTTAAAAATATTTTAATAGAAGACTTCTTCACTAAACAGTGAATATTGTGTGTATAGTTTGCATGCATCATATAATTTAGCACTTACAATGTTATTCACCCATTTTTAAAATGAGACAATTGAGTGGAACAGTCTGTGGGCCCAAGAATTCAAAGGATTCTATCTTTTATCTTTTGTACAACTCCTGGTTTAAAGAAGAGATCACATAAAAGGACATATCCTGTAACTACATTAAAATTAGGTGACATTTCTCTCCATTGTGGTAGATGTTACCACATTAGATATAATTTTTTCAGAAATATTTCCTTGAACTATGTCACTACTAAATCAGTAATTGATTAACTTTTGTAGGCCCATTTCCATTTGTATATGTTTAACAGATTTGTAACTTGGTAATTTTGCTCTACTTGAAGTGGATATCATTCAATTGATCTACTTCTGTAGTGTACATTTCATAGATAAATGTGGGGGTAATTTTATTTTAACACTGTTGTGTTGTCTTAGTCTGTTTTCTGCTGCTGTAACTCAATACTGCAGACTGGTGATTAACAAACAGTAGAATTTCATTCAGCTCACAGTTACAAAGGTCAGAGAATTCAAGATTAAGGGACTGCATCTGACAAGAGACTTCCTGGTACTTCATACTATGGTGGAAGACATCACAAGGCTAGGGAGTGCACATGAGAGAGAGGAAAGGAAGCTGAACTCATTTTGTATAAGGATGCCATTCCTGTGACAATTAACTCACTCTTGTGGTTATAGCCTTAATCAATTTTTGAAGGCAGAACCCTCATGTCTTAATCATCTCTTAGAGGTTACAACTCTCAGCACTGTTCCATTAGAGATTAAAAATCTCCAACACATGAACTTTGGGAGACACAGTTAGTGACAGCAAGCACAATAAAACTCTTCAAATGCCAGAGACAAATACAGATGTTCCTAAACCTACAGTAGGGTTCTGTTCCAATAAACCCTTTGTAAAGTGAAAATACCATAAGACAAAAATGTATTTAAATACCTAACCTACCCCAACATAATAACCTTGTCTGGCCTACCTTAAACATACTCATAACACTGACATTAGCCTAAATCTAGGCAAAATCATTTGATACAAGGCTAATTTTGTAATAAAGTGTTGACTAGGTTATATACGTTGTTCAGAACAGTGCATGGTAGAGTGGAGAATTGGCTGTTTTTTCTTGTGATCACATGGTTGATTAGAACCTGTGGCTCATTGCCACCATCCAACATCATCAGAGTATTGTACCACATATCACCAGCTCAGGAAAAGATCAAAATTCTAAATTCAAAGCAGTGTTCCTACTGAATGCATGTCACTTTTGCACAATTGTAAAGTGGGCACACAATATGCCTGATCATTGTGTATAAAGATTTCTAAAACTAAACATATAAAACAATTATATTTAAACTAAACATATATAAAAGTCAATAAATGCCAAAGTTGAAACTAATTTTATTATGAGTTCAATCTCATATGTGTGAGTGTGGGCATGATGCTTTGTTTGGCTTGGAAAATATGTGATAAATGCAATTATTAAATACTTATTTTTATCACATCATATACAGTATACTCTAAATCATAATCATAAAATGTATCCAATGTACTAACTCTTGGATACCTATTTCAAAGACTTTTTATTTTTTTTGGTGGTAACGGGTTTGAACTCAGGGCCTAACACTTGCTAGGCAGGTGCTCTACCACTTGAGCCGTTCCACTAGCCCTTGGGTACCTATTTCAAAGAAAGGGAATATTTGAGAAAATGAGGCAATTCACAGCCTTCTTGCAAACAAGAAATTGTGTAGCTAGTGAGTGGATTAAGAGTATAGCACAGCAATAGAGTGCAGTGGCTAAATTAAAAATATGGTTTTCATGGACAATCTTTAACCTGCTTAATTCGTAAACAGTGCTATAAGTATTGATTAAGTTTCTAAAAGGCAATTCTAAAAGGAATTCTGACTTTCAATATTAATATAAAACAACCAGAAGGACAATTTTAACCACAGCCAAAAGTTTGGTACTATTATATGTTCAGATATGTGAATATTATTAGGAAACTTGCTTTTTAAAAGGAAAACAGGAAAGTTTGGTGTCATTATTACTCAGTTGTCATTACAGAAAAAGGCCTTTAATAAAATATGTAGAAGTAAACTTTTTCTAAAATACTTCATAAGTAAACATTTTTATTCTTGTAAAACAAATTTGATTTCCATCTATACGATAACATTATTCCCTTAAGTCTAAGTAATCAGGAACTTAGAGTTAATATATGCACAAATCCCTTTAGTTTCCTATATAAATACATAGTTTCATATACCCATGTCTTACAAAATATATATGCATCTATATTGGAATGTTTCATATATATATATATATATAAGATATACATGTATATCTGAAACTAACAGGTTCACGTAAGATACATGTGCACACAATTATTTACCATCTTCTTAATATCTTCAAGGAGAAAGTTTCTGCATTGACCAAGGATTCTGTAGCCATCGCTCATTAGGTTTCAAAAGATGAGCCTTAAAAGACTTCAAAAATCCTCAAAATTAATATAAAACTTGTGCAAATTATTTGTGTGATTTTATGCTGACTGGATCTGCAGTTTGAGGGTTAAGGATAGGTATTTAAGGAAAACGGAAAGCCACAATTAAGTGGCAGAGGAGTAGTGAAGTGCACACATCGTAATATTGTCACTGGCCTTATAGCCCAATTCTTTTACGTGGTTGAAGAGTTTTTAAGTTATTTAATATCTCTAAACCTCAGCTTCTTAGTTTATAAAGTAAAGATAATAACAGGACCTATATGAAAGGTGAATTTTACTATGAAGTTTACAAAGACTAACTCTGGGGCCTTGGCAATGTGTTCGCCTGACCAGAGATTTTCATTTAATTTGCAAAATTATGTAAGCTTTTGAATAAATATCCTACCAAATTTGGTAACTTCATATCCAACCAAAACTGCATTCTTCCTTTGCTTACTTTAGTGGTTCTGTTGAGCATTAAGTTTAAAAATACATGGACAGCTTTAGGACAATGTCTAACACACCAAAATCACTGAATTAGTGTTCATTATTATTATCAAATATCATAGGCAATGTGCTTGTGTTTATTTTTTCAATGGCTATATATAATCAAATACTCTATAACTTAAATTGTACAGGTTACGGGTTTTTAGGAAAGCACTTAATATACCACAGAGTTGTCTGAGAAAATTTAAGAAGAGACATAGTACAAAATATTGATGCAAATATTAGACTTACTGATGCATATTTAAGAGATGGGTAGCTTTAAGATTTAATCAAGATCGTGTTTGCATTTTGATGAAAAATTCAAACATTTATTCAGAGAAAACTGTGCTATCATGCAGAGAAAAATTGCCCAAGATCCCGCACACTTGTCAGTTAGCTATTGTAAGCAAAGCTTATTGAACTGAAAAGAATTACACAAATCTTATCCTACCTATACAAAAGCATCCTAATATAAAGTCATCCCAATCATCAAGAATTTAGCAATATGTACAAAGAAAGTCATGCAAATTTCTGAGTCATAGTTTTGTAATTTGGGACACATGATATCTGTGTAAGGTAAAAATCACATTTGTATGATATCCACTTATAAGTCATAATACAAATATCATCCTACCTTTTAATCACATACCTAAAAGTTACAGACGTGAGTTATTTCTATAAATCATGATTAATTTTACACAAAGAATCACAACGCATGTTACAGACTTATGATTAAGTTTGACCTTTTGTATTTTCTACCAAAGAATGATATATACACATGTATATATAGATATATATTAGTTATGAATAAAATTCACTTACCAGGAAGATATGATTTGTATTTCAAATAATAGGAGTTTAAATATTGCCCTCTCATTGAATCATTTAGTCATAGGAATTTATTTTATGCTTCAAGAGAAAACAAATTCAAGGTAAATATGCTGGACTTATTTGTGCATATATAGAGAATATATGTGTATGTAATGAAATTTAGTCCTTTCAGGGAAAAGTGCTTCTTTTCTGAGTCAATCATGAAATCATCTAATGAATTAGCTGAGCAACAGTAAGCATGGGGAAATTATTTACTTCTGCTCTGCTCAATAGGAACAGAAAAGTTAGTAAGTTCTTTCCAAGTAGCGAAATAAATGGCCCCAATCACAGTGCCAATTCCTGTTTCAGGCTGTGCCCATTTAATAAAACAGAATTGGTTACCAGGTTCTTAGCATTACTTTTCAGAGACGTTACTCGCACTGCTGAAGAACTGAGTAGGTAGCTGGTTGATCTCTCTTGATAGGACTTCTTCCCACAACAAAGCTGGCTGTTGAAATGCTTCCTGAAGCTTTCACTGAGTAAATAGAGAGCAAATGGATTGACACAAGAATTGCAAAAGCTCAGAACCCTGGCAACTAAGGTGACAATCATGTGGCCTAGAGATGGGTCAATCTCCTTGTAATTGAAAGACCGATACATGTAGAGAATGTGATTTGGAAACCAACAGAAAACAAAGCAGCCCACGAAGACAAGCACTATTTTAGCCAGGCGTTTACGTGTTTCCATCTGTAAGTAGAAGAAAACAGACCAATTGGTTAAAATAAAAATAGAGTCAGCCACAACCAAATTTATAATGGTACAAAAGGAGGATAACATGACAATATATCCAAGATACAAAGACTGTTTATTTTCTTCATCAAAGTGCTTATTTT